GTCATCCCTGCTGGCTCTGCTGCCATTATTACACCGGTACTGTCATCCCTGCTGGCTCTGCTGCCATTATTACACCGGTACTGTCATCCCTGCTGGCTCTGCTTCATTATTACACCGGTACTGTCATCCCTGCTGGCTCTACTGCCATTATTACACCAGTACCGTCATCCCTGCTGGCTCTGCTGCTACTCCAGCACCTGCGTCAGGTCCAGCTGTGAGCACACTGCCAACACCTGAAGAAGCTGTGCTTCTCCTGCCTGTCTTTCAGTGCGCAGTCAGCCTTTACATGCTCCTCATGCTACTGGGCTATTACTGCCGAGATTTGACACGGAGCCCTGCCTTGTTCCCAGTGATGGTCGTCTTCACCAGGGGGAGCAGGTCGTTGGTGATGAAAGTGCCGTTGGCTTCCAGGAAGGCGATGCCCTGGGGCTCGTAGAGCTCCGCCATGATCTGCAGGGCAGAGAACAGACAGGGCTTCTGTCAGGGAGTTGGGTGGGAGTGACTGCGCAGATCTGCATGCTTGCGCACACATGCAGATTCCATCTGCCAGACGGGGTGTTCACACTATCTCCCCGGTCAGAGACCTTTAGGGTGGCTCACACTAGAGGGTTACAAGGGGAGAACACAGCTCATCATAAATGACAAATGAGTGCAAGTTTGTGCGTTAATGTCAGTGTGTGTCTGCGTCAGTGCTGAGTGGTTCCGCAGTGCTGTCCTGACCTCGAAGTGCTGCACCAGCTGTTTGGGTCGGACCCGGATCATCAGCTCGTACTTCCCCAGGCTGCGCTTCAGCAGCTCCTCGTAGGTCAGCTCGAAGGTCACCTTGCTGGCCGCCGCGATGTTCACCGACACCGAGAACTTCTCCATCTTCCGCCCCGACGCCCTGAGCAATGGCACAGCAACAGCAGGCTGTTCCAGCGTAGCGCCTCGACAGCAGCACACTGCACACTGCACACTGCACACTGCACACTGCACACTGCACACTGCACACTGCACACTGCACACTGCACACTGCAAACTGCACGCATCACACTGCACGCAGCACCCGGCACGCATCACACTGCACACACTCGACTCCCTCCACATGGCCCACGCACACATAAAACATAGCGCTTTCATGACATAAGAGCCGGGTTCAAAAGACACCAGGCTTTTCGGTAAGTTACAAAACCGAAGCCTGTCTGTATCAACTGCAACCCAAACTTCCACAGCATAACAGCCCTGTCACCCACAGTGCACCCTGAATCCCCATCTTCCAACAAAACAGATCACACATGATAGATCACTCACAACAGATCGCTCTCAATAGATCACTCACAATAGATCGCTCTCAACAGATTGCTCTCAACAGATCGCTCTCAACAGATCGCTCTCAATAGATCGCTCTCAATAGATCGCTCTCAACAGATCGCTCTCAACAGACCACACACAACAGATTGCACAAGAAGATCACACAGAGCAGATCACACATAACAGATCACTCTCAACTGATTGCACAGACAGATCATACGCAATAGATCACTCCCGACAGATCAGACACGACAGATCACTCGCGATCCCTCTCAGGCACAGCTGTGTGAAGTGGAACAGAGCTGCGGTTGGGAAGCCCACCTGACCAGGCCAGCGCTCTGCCCCTGGGACACGGCCTTCTGGTACTGCTGCTTGGCCTGCTCCTTCTCCTTCACCTGGCCCACATAGGTCACCCCGTCGATCACCCTGCAGCACACGGAGCACAGCAATATACTCCTCCACACCCCTGTAGCGCCCTGCTGGACACCCCACTCACAGCACTG